CCTCACTTGCATAAGAGACAGATAAACCTTGAAGTGACGCTGTGGGCTTACTAAAAGTGTTTGACAACGTATCAGCAGCAGAAGGTGCAGATGTAGAATGCAGCATGGTTTCAGTTGTAGCAGAACCTGGTGCCATTTGATGCAATATTTGGTCAAATGTAGAACTATCTTTATGAACCCTGGAGCTTTCAGCCAATATTGGATCACTAGGCACAACTGCAGCTGTGTTAAGCAGAGTGCCACCGCCAGAAGATTGGAAGAAGGACTGCAGTAATGCTTCATTATTTAATGTAGCTGAGGTCTCATAAAAGTGCAGCTGAGTCGAGGACAACATTTTGCTATAAGCAGGGGCAGAGAAAGCTTCATCTGAGCTTGCACTAAGCATAGGTTTAAGCAAAGTGTCGTCAAAGGCTGGAGGTGTAACATGCAAAGGCTGAACGGAAAGGTAATTTTCTGTAAGTTTACTAATATCATGATCAAATATCTTAGTAGTGGGAAAAGCAAGAGAGACTGGAAGGATTCCCTTTGTGCTAGAAACAGGAAGTGGGCTTTCTTGCTGAGACGTATTCTGCTTATTTACATCATCATTAGAAACAGATGTAGAAAGTTCAGGTATCACTTTACTTTCAGCACTGGAAGCCATTTCACTTAAAGAAGAGGAAATTTGCGGTTCTCTCTCATCTCCATATACAACATCACCTTTTTGAAGCATCTTATTAACATCACTAAACCCAGATGATTCATACAAAATTTCATCTACAGAATCAGAGGAAGAAACATTAAGTACCGTCAAAGTATCTGTATCAGGCAAAAGGGACTCACTACCAGAGTATGCTTCAGACCAATCCGTATCACTAGACAGAGAGTGCGTAGGCTGCAGCAAAATATCAGCTTGTGATATTACAGAAGAAGGTTTATGCACCAATACGTTGTTATAGCTGCTAAGTAAAGGATCTTGACGAAATACGTCAACAGAATCATGCACAAATTCTGCAGAGTCATAAGAAACAGTAAAGCTTTGGAGGGAGCCCACATTACTAGACAAAGCATAAGGAAGTTCAGACATTGTAGATAGTACATGCATATTTATATCACTGCTGGATGGTTCAACTTGAGAAAATACGTGAGTTCTATTATGACCAAATATCAGTGTCTCTGAAGCAGCATGAGTAGTCTGATGTGACACCACATCAGCATATTGAGCAAGGCTTGGCTGTTTTAATGTATCGCCCTCTGCCAATGTCAAAGAAGCATGCAGGGACACCTTATCACTTGCAACAGCTGGAGTAGCACTTTGTGGTAACATCTGAGAAACTGTATACAGACGGTGAAACATTTTACTACTGGAGGAAGCAGAGGAAAATGTAAGCAAAGGTACATCATCATAGGAAGACAGGGTGGGTTCAAATGACACAGCAACACTGGGAAATACAGGTGTAGCATGCAAGGTCACATCACTATCTGATGTAGCAGGGGTAGTGTCGAGCATCTGAGAGTCAAACAATACAGGGGTGACTAGAGGAAACACTTCACTACTGTAGGAAGGTTGAAGAGGTATCTCACCATTATAGACTGGTTGAGTTGTCTGAGAGAGTACCTCACTGGCAGCAGAAGCAGAACCATATTCTCCAGAGCTTGAAGAGATAGAGTGAGGTGATAACTCAGCAGAGGAGAAAGCAAAGGTAGAATAATGTGGCAATTCTAAATCCGCATCTGAAGTGTCTTGCGAAGCCACTGGGCTGCTGGAATAGGGTACTGTAGCTGGCTTTAATCCCTCTACATAAGCATCAGTGTAACTGGTCTGAGACAATTGCCTGCTATCTGATGTATCAACAGACTGAGTTGTCAGATCTGTAGCATTACGAAGCCACAAATTTCCATCAGTGGAAGAAATATGCTTTGGTGGCTCATCAGAGCTTGAGGGTGCTGCACCTTCTGAAACATACTTAATGGAGCCTTGGGAAAGAACATCATGCATGCTTATATCTGGGCTTCCCGAAGGAAGGGTGTCTTCTTCAGAGGTCTGCTCCGTAACGAACTGTGCTGAAGAAGTGGTAAGAACGGAACTCCAAAAGTCACCAGATTCTTGATGAGGTTTAAAAGGAGACAATAAGAAATCTTCATCACTATGGACAGTAGTGGTTATTCTTGTTGGTTCAGTGCCTGAAGAAAGGTATATGTATTCTTCTTCTATGCCTTTGGTGGAGCCAATGAGTTGAGGAGGAATTCCAGTAATTGTTCGGGATTCCGAAAAAGGATCTTCCTCTTCTTCAGAAACTTCACTAGCAGGTGGAGAAGTAAGGTAATAAACTGCTTTGAAAACATCATCCTTACCATGCAATTCTTCTTCTCTTGTTAAGTATCTATTTGTTTTAGCTTCATTGGGTTTTGTCCCCATTTTATCTTGAATATAGCTAGATGTAGTCACCTGGAAATCTTTCCTCCTTATTTGATTTATTGTACTGTCAGTGCTAGGAATCACTGCAGTTTCTTCATCCACCTTTATTTCCTTTTCATCGACTTCATCCTTTGAAAAGATATCATAACCGAAGACAATTAAAAATGTTTATGGACACCGCACACAAATGAAAACCAAAACTGCTATAATAGACTTTTTTATGGCTCCATAGAAACAAGCGAGACAAAACATGACAACACTTGAGAATACTGTTGGTCTTCAAGCAAAATTTTAAGATGCAAGAACAGGTATCCTATCCTCTCTTGAAAATATTACTTATTTGTAATATAAACAAAAAATCTTGTGTCACATCAACTTCTTAAATATTGTGTTACTTTTACTCTGCTTCAGAGACAAACACTCATAGTATTTATTTATTAAAAAAAGCTCTACCTCTTTCCTAATAAAATGCAATCATATATGCAGTACACATCAATGAAAAAATGGTTTTGCTATGAGAATGGAGATTTGCACTAATATCCTGATAGTAGTTAAACTACCATAGTAACAGAATTTGTAAAATATACTTATCACCTGTCCTTAAATCAGCTGATTCTTCAGAGTTCTCTGTAGATGATTTCAAGATAGTCAGCATGACCGTAACAGTTTCACAAGTGTTGTGAGTGATGCCACCTTGTCCCTCTTACGATCCCTTGTTTGCTGAACATGAATAATGATACTTTGTGAAAAACCTGTGTTAGGGTTTTGACTTCTAAGGACAGATCCAAAAAGAAACAACAACAAAAAAATTGCATGCCTAAATACAATTAGGATTTAGGCAGGCCTTGAGTATCTAAGTTCAAATCCTTTCTCCAACTTTCCCCGCTTCAAATCAAAAAACATAATGTGGAAGCATCTAACTTGCTCAGCAGGCATTTTTATTTTGACCCAGACACAGCAGCGCCCTCAGCTCTGTGCTGGGCCCCCATCTAGAACTGCACCAGAACCAGACCTGTCCAAGCACAACTCTGCAAATTAGATTGAGGGGCACCTTCAGTTTCTGAAGGGATTTGATTTGACAAGGCCACATAGCCCTAAGAGACAGCAGCGGGATGGAGTCTGTCGCAAAATACAATTGCAACTCTCTCTTTCTTTGAAGATCTGGCTTGGTGATGTGCTGGCAATACCCATCTGATTTTATTCAAAAGCATAATGTTGAGAGAAAACACCCAGAAGACAGAAGACCGGGACATCATTATCAGGCTGAGAAATCCTCAGTTTCCACTACATTTTAGGCTGAGTAGATATCCCACTCCTCACTGAAGTGAGCAGCGCACAGCAGAGAGAAGAATGTAAAATAAGAGTCTTTGAAAGAAAGTGCTCAAGACAAAGCACAGCTGAATAAACTATTAATTGGGGCACTCGGCTGATAGGAGCTGGTAGCTTTTATTGAGTCTTACCAGAGTGAGGGCTTTAGCCACCAGGCTAGAGCCGTGCTTCACACCGCACTCCCTTTTCTGTGCCAGGAACATCCAGTGCGCTCGCACAATGTAAGGGACCTCAGACACGGCTCTCACGTTTGGATTTCATTCCAAGGGCTAAATGCCCAAAATGTAGGGACAGCAGTGCCTAGGTTGTGCATCCTCAAACCTGGACTGGACTGGACAGGTCCTTGTTCCTGAAAAATCTACTTCCTGAAGGGCAATATCTGCACTTTCAAATTTTCTTGGTTCAAGTAAAAATAAACTGGCATTCATTAGCACACAGCTATGGTCCTGACAGATGCAATGTAATAGTCCAGATACACAGCTTACATCAACAGAGAAATAACTGTATTACTGGTTAGTCAGCATCCACAAATACAAGGAGGGGTAACCAGACAGCCAGGTAAGCACAGGCTATTTATTTAACTAAGAAGGACTTGCCACTCAGTGAGATTACTGCCATCGTAGATTGCAACTATAAAATAAAAATTCTGCAGGATTACTTGATACAAATGCAGGTCTTACTGAAGGAACTGTCCATCTTATAAAATCTGTATTAAACGTTGTTAAAAACTTCACTGTGATATTTTCACCTCTCTCCTTGATGGGAAACCAGAAACCTAGTTACCAGACTAGTCTGCAGAGGGTATCAAAGAAACACCCAAAGTTGCACAGAGTTGTACTGTAAAGTCTAACTTGAGTTCAAGAACTAAATGACCCTCCAAGAATTTTGGAATGTTAAATTCATCTGATAGCACACTGATAGCAGACACACACGAATCTCAAGCACACCTGCCTTCCTCCCTCACTTTAGTTTACTACATGCTAAGACCATCACAAGCAAGCCCAAGTCAGATTTCTCTTTAAACAAACTAAAAAGACCAACATTGGGTGACAGCTTTGATTCTGCTAAATGAACAATTTTGTCAGACTTCACTCAGAGGTGAGAGTAACCTGATGCCCCATTTTCAAAAATATTTAGGCATATCCTGCAATATCCCATACTTCGTCACCTGTCTCCAGCCCTAGAGAAATAAATCATGAGGCATCTATCTCGAGAGTTATCTAGGGAGGAATATAGCTGAATGAAAAGGCTGTATATGCATATATATGTATGTATATATAAATACAGACAATCCATTGTTGGTGACACAGCTTTGCAAATTTTCACAGAATATCAATTCAATTTAGTTGAAATGTATGTATTTTAAATACTCTCTTACAAACAAATGAATGCTATACCTCATATTCTTCAGTTTCATTCAGTTCGGGAATGAGGTCAGCCTCTATAAAACAAAAATACACACCATATCATCCAACATTTTAAATTCACAGAATTATTAACTCTGCAAGGACTCAACTGATTAGTTAATAGGTTCACTGAGACTTAGCCTAGGATGTTTTACAGGATTGTGCTTGGAGAAGTGGCCAACCACCTCGGTTGAGGACTTGCTCTAAGGGTAGCAGTGTTCATCGAGACAGGACACATTCAGCCACAACAGTTATGCCTGGCTCTAGTTGAATACTGCAGCACATGTTGGATCTGCACTGAGGAACCATATCCTAGCCAGGAAGAACCAAGTTTACGAGAATCTTTCCTATGAGAAAGTACAGTTTAATGCAGAAATACAGAAGAGATAAATAAGGTAAGTCGGGGAATCAACTACTCCTCTGCATTTAATCTGACAGCTCTGAAGATATTCTTGTAAAATGATCTGTTCTCTGATTTTCAAACAGCAGATTCCTCATTTGTGCACCCAGGCTTCGAGTCAGGTACCAGCGCAACAGCCATGCCATCCTATTCAGCATGCAGTAGGCTGCCAGTCTCCATCAGAGCAGACCAAAGAGAATCACCGCTCCTACAGTCCAGCACTTAAGGCCATTTTCAAACCTCCACTCCGCTCGATTTAACGTAAGGACATGAACACAGCTGTATTGCATCCCACAGAAAGTCCCTAATAAACAGGTACTGGGCGCTCTGCGAAGAACTACGCTAAAGGCTTTTGAGGCCTTCTCAGTTTTCACAAATAAGTAAGTTAAGCAGGATCAAGGAATTAATCTCCTACAGCCCAGGTAGTCTCACCTTCTTTCTCTCTGTATTTCTGGCAATTCCAGTATTGTACTTCTGATGGTGGTCAGCAAGCGAGGCTTCAAAGCAGGTCTCTAGAAACCTGCAGATCTCTGGTATGAACTGACATGGGCCTCCAGCAACAAAATCCAATACACCTTGCACAGCATTAACTCATCTTACTGCTCCTTTGGTCTGCAGAATGGTCTATTCCCTATCTGAATCTTTCTAAGGCGTTCTCCTAAGCAACGTTCTAGCACCCTGCCTGTACGTCAGTGCTAGCACGTCTGCTGAGGGCTGATTTGCACAAGCGAAAACGCCAGTCTCATAGCCTGGGGAGCGATTCTAACGACAGCATCACGCAGTTTCCTCCACAACTCCCATGCGAAGTTTCCTCAACACACCAGTATACAGATGCCACCTTACACTTCTCGTCTCTGCAAAGTCAGATGGGGATCTACGACTTAATTTGTATTCTCTTTGGTCTGTCAGTATCTAACTTTCAAAACTAAATGAGACATGTATTATATGCAACATACACTAAATAAAGCTTATGAAACTAATAAGCTCATATGGTTTTATTTTTAGATTATAGCATGCAAACAAATTTTGACTAAACAATACTGCACAAAATCTTCATAAATTGTTCCTTTGTAACAAACAGTTATAAATTACCAAGTACTGAATTAACCTTTTGTTAACAAGTTAGAGAAAAAATATCTTACCTCTGACTCCTGGAAGCCTAGGAGGCTCCGGGGCAGGGTGGGGAGGGGAGTGGAGGGGAGGAAGGGGTGGAGGAGATAATGATATTCCCTGGCTTCTCAATGACATAAATCAAATATTGTAGACATCAGTTTGAAAGTCTTCCCACCGTAGACCCATACCATGAATTACGCATTCAACAGACTTCTCTGAAAAATGTTTTTAACACAGAGAAATTCTATTCATTCTTTCTGTGGTCACTGTTCTTGAGTTGAGCTCTAATCAGACTCAGTCAGAAAAATAAAATATGTTGACTGTGCTAGAGTATACAGTAGAGTACGTGCTCTCAAATTCCACCAGCAGAAAACTACATTTTTTTTTCTGTTGTCTCCATGGAGAGGCACTAAGATACATATATATATACATATATGTATACATATATGTATATATATATGCAAAAATAATGGTATTAACAACACTAAATCTGCATGCATTTTACAATGCCTATTTAAACTTAGTTTGTCACAGAAAATGTATTTGTCGAAAGCATTAGAGACACACCGTTACAGAAGTTGTGTTAATCCTGTTGCTGAGTTTCTGGTTTCATAGGAGATTATAGAAATCTGCCAACATCCCCCAACCAAGGATAAGAACCACGGCCTCCAAAAAACAACCCATTGATGTAGGTTGATGAACAAGCTTGTTTATTTTTTCTGGAACCACATATTGATTACTCTATAGCTTACATTTTAAAATAATATAATTAAATCATTAGTGAGAAAGTTTTGTAGAGGTCTTTTCATAGTTCATTTTAATGACAGATGAAGAAATGATAGAACAAAGACACAAAAGGTAACTATTTCTCTACATTTATGTTCAATGCAGATCCTTTAAAAAATGTCTTAACCGGATTTGTAATTGTAGAATAACATGCACACCATAAACTGTTTTCATTTCTGTACTGTCTTATAAATGGCATGGCAAGAACAAAAGTAAAGCCTGTTTCTTCTGATTAAACTAGTTTTCAGATTTCTACATTTATCAGTACAAAAATAGAAAAAAGCATCCCCTAAATGAAACATTTAAGATATGCTTAGTGTTTTTTAGGACAAAAAATCACTCACGAAGACAAGTTACAAAGAAATTGCAGTTAGACCCTCACAAAGCCTTGCTGAAAGCATGACCTGCCATGCAGGAGACAGCATTTGAGAGCCATATCCCAGCATGGGTTTTTTTGATAAACACCAACTGAAGTCTACATAAAGGAGGATGAGAGGAGAGTTATATTCTTATTTTTCATTTCCTGTCTCAGCAAAAGCATATTAAGTAAACACTGGTATTAACTACACAACAAACTACTGCAGAACTTTGAGAGCTATACAGATGTTATCTAGAGAGTCAAAGCACACATTTAGATAGTTATTCCAAATCCAATTCTAATAGGAAATGAATAATCGGTAAATAAACGCTGTACTTTGATCCAAGCTGACTAAAACACTATGCACACGATTTCCTTCACTTTCTGTTGGAGGTTGTGTGGCTACACCGCGTATGGCATCTGGTGACTTTTACTAAATGGAAACTAACTGGAAACAATTCTAATGTGCACGTACGCTATATCGCAAGATGAAAGGCTGCCACTCTGAACAGTTTAGAAAATGTCCAAAGAGCAGAGGTCTCAACTGTGATCATTTGCCCAGTGTCGTATCAGAGCTCCTGAGGATTCCACAAACTGAGGCAGAGAGCACGGCCCAAAAGAGGTCCTTCCTCTTAGACAGCATTGCCAAGAATGACAGGGTTTAAACCCACTTTGTGGAACATCCGGAGCCTGCAGAGCCCTCACTAACCATGTACAGGAGGCACCAAGGTGAAGTGGGGAGAAGATGTGAGAAATGCTCTCTCTTGCAAGCGTCTCAAAAGGAAAAGGCTAAAACAACGGTTATGAGTTTTTTGAACACCAGATTGGTGTTGCACGGTGTACTGAAACTTCCCTCATTAGAAGTGGCCACTCCAAGGGCAGAACACTTCCCGGAAAAGGGCTCATCTAATGCTTCCGCATGACTCATGCCTCACTTTAGCTCTTAACATGAAGATTAATTGATCTGGAGGTGACTGCAGGGAATTTCATCTTAATTAAACTGGCTTACTCAGAGTAATTCTTGAAAATGAAAGTTTTAGCTTATGCTTTATGTGAGTCAATTTTATTTCAAGTCTTCAGGGTGAAGGTAAATTTTCTTTCATAAATTCACAAGCAGGAGCTCCAAGAAATCCCCTTTTGCCTCAAGATCTATAAAGCAGATCACAAAACCGATTTGATGTTATAGTTGTAACCAGTAAATTGCTCTGAACAAGTCTTTCTCATTAGATATCTACATTCTCATACCTCTGTTGTTTAACATTTTCAATATTAAAATATTAAATACGAAAACACTTGCAATATTTGCAACAGTTAATTCAGATGTAAATAATTAGTAAAAGTAAGTACGCAATTAAACATTAATATTAGAAATAAATGGAATATTTTTTCATATTTTAAAACTATATTCAGGGTTGAGACAGCATCTATAAAATTTATTTATAGAGTAATATATTTCCCTAGGAATCATACTAATTACATGAGAGGGATTTTTCCCTGAATTTTCCTCATCCAGTGCTTTCAGATGTACTGCTGTGGAAGTGTCGAAACAAAAGAACACAAAGTACATTTAATAACTTTGTGTCCATTTCAGTTAGGAAGCATCCCAAAGAAACAGTTTTTCTGAAACACGCAAAATATTCATTTTGGCATTTCATTTTTATTTATAAACTCTCCCTCTTTTATTTTTTTTTTTTTAAATTTAAAATATCCCTGAAACACTTCATTTGACCTGAAATGATCTTCCTCAATTCTAAAACTTTTGGAAAACTAAAGGAAAAACCTTAGACACATCTCAAGCTATTACAAATTTTCAGAACTGCCTGAAATTTGAATAAAACCCAGGTGTTTAGACAGTTCTGATATGCAGATTGTTTAACTCTCCCCTTTATAATGCTTTATTTAAAAACAAGAAAACTCAGGATAAGAATATACTTATTAACGTTAATTTGCTTTAATGCAACATGAAAGAGACATATTTAAATGTTCAAATGACAGAAACCACAAAAACACCACTTTCATAGTTACGCTAACCTGTTCATATTTTATATAGATACATTTTTACATTGTTCTGCCTCCTAGGTATCCTTGCTTTGTACTTTCTCATTTTTTTAACAAAAAGAAATTTGTGGTGTGTCTGTGTAAAAAGGCATGAGAACATCAGCCCTTCACTCAGAAGTGCCAAACATAATATTAATCGCACCAAATTCTCTTGTCTGAGAATATCAATCTCAGAGAAATTTCTGCTGATATACTAGAAAGTGAAACGAGTTTTCTAGTATTTCCAAAGCAAGGCCCTCACTCTTCCTTCCACCGAAACGAACGCAAAGCCACTGCTGACTTCAGCAGAAGTACAGCAGGGATGCCGTCACCAGCAGCTGCATCTACACCGCTGGCCAACTGCAGGCTGCCAAACCCCCCACCGTCCTCTTGCCGGGTTTGCTCCCCACGCCCCGCTGTCCTCTTGCTGGGTTTGCTCCCCAGCAGTATTTGCTCGCAGCTCAGGTGCACTGCGCAGCCGTGCCGGCAGTGCTGGCTCCTCAGTTACCCAGCCCCAGTGCTCTCATCTCCCTCCCCACCTCTGCACCCACGTTTCCTTCCAAAGAGAATGATGGCACACAGCCGGGTGGTACGAACTCACCCTTACAGCAGGGATACAACAGTAGTAGCAGGACAGTTTATCCTGTGGGTATTACCTGCACTGGATTTTGTTTTGCAATGTCTGTTTTCAGAGGTTTTAAAGCTGTGATTTGTTGAACTACTGTGTAATAACAACACTACTACGCTGCTTAGTTGTCATCCCATATAGAAATGGATGTGGGGCTATGTAGATGAAATCTCATCTGAAAAAATCTTCAAACACAAAATCAGCAAATTCTGGAAAGGGAGTGGAGGAATCTAGTATCTAAGAGGTAGATGAAGGATAAACAGAAAAGCGAAATGTCAGGCAGAATGTCAGAACCTTGTCATGGACTTCTTCGAAAACTGAAGAGAAATAGGAAAATTCTGGTAGTTATCAGCATAAGACTTCAAAAATGCATTCTTCTTAACAGTTTGTGATTGAAAGACAAGTTAAATGTTTATTGAAAATTTATATGCACGATACTTGAAACTGCACCCCCCTCCTTCACACAAAACCACACTATTACAAGCCTATTACCATTTTAGTTCATAATTCATGCGGTAGAGATTGTTGAGAATCATATTCTTTCTCGCTGTAAAAAAATGTGGTTCCCTTGAAATGAAAAACTGACCTGTCTTCCCAAGTACATCACAACATTGCTAAGGACTTTGCTGTAGCTAAACAGACTTAATGAAGTGTAAAACTGAACTTACAGAATCAGTAGATAAACAACAAGAATCCAGGCCCTTAGATAAAAAATGTTTTCTGGCACCATCAGAGAGTCTTTGATTTTTTTCCTATGATTAATTACAGCGTTCTTAATTAAAAACACAACTCTCACTCATTTTGGTAAGAACTGGGTCTGATGCTAAAACTTCCATAGAATTTAAGCAATGATTAAGGAATAGATCAAGCTTCATGCTACAGTTTCAAATTATTTTATATTTACCAGCAGGCGGAAGAGGTAAATCTGGTTGTGAAATCAGTGAGATTTGTTTGTTAGGCCTTTTGATTTTTTGCGAGGGAGCATTAAGAAGCAAGGGAATTCCATCACCGCAAGTCCTTTGAAATCAAACTCCAAGTAATCATAAGAAATCAAATTTCAAAATCAGTTGATATAGTCTTATAAGTCATTTATGGGGTTTGTATTATTTGTTTCCTTAATACTTTGGCTGCGTGGATTAATTTTTTGCTAAAAGATACACTTGTGAGGTTTGAAATCAGGTAGGTGTTTTTCAAAATGTTCTTAGAGTTAAAAAAAATCAACATGCAGTCTTTCATAGGTAATGTTTACAAGGAATGAAGAATTACATCATGTAAAATATCAGTAGCAAAGAACATGCTGAAGGTTAACTGCAGCGATTTTGAAATTTCATTTTAGCAGACTTTGATAATCGCGTATTTTAACTGGTTTGCAAACAAGCTACTTTGTCAAACATAGATTTTCAGCTAAAAGTGATCAGTAAGCTCAAAAGACCACTTACCTGGGTCCTCTAAAGGCATATCAACAATGACTTGGTCACTGTACTTTCCATATAGACCATTAGAGCAAACAGCAACTATCTGAAGAACATAACTTGTATTGGGCAGCAGATTATTTAGAATAGCACCCTAAAAGAAAAACCATGTTTAATCATTTACTTGCACGTGGGTATCAAATATTTGGAAATGTTAAATTTTTCATAATACATTTTTCACACAAACCATAAAGTTCCTTTCATCTAGGACTCTGTTACATACTTTTCATATTTTATTCTCACAAATATTTTTCAGTCAACTTTAAAAAACATCCTGTGAACTTTTACATGTAGGATACCATATTATCTAATTATTCAATGCTGAACACTAGGTTTAGGTAGCATTATCTCTGACAAATTATGAGTCTTTAAAAAGGGTAAAAGGAACAGATCACACTAGTAAAATACCACGAAGGTGTAACCAGGAACTTAATATTTATAGCAGTATGATCATACTGGATCTTATTAGTTGCTTGTGTAGGTCATTCTTTGCACATCTGTGAGCAATGAAGTACAGATTACTATTAATGGACTAAGGGTTTTATGGCTAAGGAGCTCTGAGATTGACATGATCATAAACTTTTGGGGATAGTATAGGCAAATCAGAACGGCAATCTGTGACAGTTTGCTCTCCTCTGGGCGAGAGCAGCTTTTTTTTTTTTTTACTTGTCTTTGTGGCTTCACAGCCAAAAGATGAAGTGCAGCTTCTGAGAGCTGTAGCCAAAGAAGTAATTTTTTATTGAATCATCTCCCAGATACTGTTTAATCCCTTAAGATAATTAACAGTGAGTGTTTTGCCATCAGCCCTTTGTATGAAACTTGAAGAGTTTACAGTTACCAAGTCCTGATACCCATCTGTCAGAAACTCATGCTTAGTCTGGTCTTCTCCATCCAACTGTTGATAAAAGACAGCAAATCTCTCTATTGTGGTGTCGTATACAACCCGAGGTCTTTCCCATGTAACAAGAAGACTAGTGTAATTCTTTGGATCGGATTGGACATTTTCAGGTTCTGAGCTGCAAACTGAAAGAAAGAAAAAAGAAAAGAACGTGATATTTATTAAATGGTAGAAATGACTCTATTAACATCTTGAGCCACCTCCTGAGAAAATTAATGCAAGTCTTTCACGTGTCTCATTTTTAGCTTTCCACTAAAATATCTGGGATGCCATGCACTGTAAACAGAACTGGTATTTTAACAATAGATTTTCAAGAGCAAGCTAATTTGAGGACTGAGTCCCCTGCTTCCCCTTTTTTATATCATATTTTGTGAACTATCCATATCCAGTTCCCAAGATACAAAATACGAAACACAAAACATAAAGATTTCTATATACGTCCTGGGCATGAAACATCTTTATTACTCTGTCTTTATGTGTCTATCGGAGCAGCATTAGAAGAGCTGCACGCTCTCTCACCAGCTATAATAGACTGTAATCAATAATAAATCTTTAACAAAAGATTGCTTTTAAAGGTTAAAGATAAACCTATCACATTTGAACTTCCTCTCAAGGGTGTTTGAGTCTTTCTGTAGTACCTAAAGAGACAAAAGGCAAACAGGGAGAGGCTAAGAAAAGATTAAGTTAGCAGGTCGTGATTTTGTGTTATTATATTTTTTAAGGCACCATCTAGACATCTGCCGAAGAAGTCTGATCAGATCGTTGCAGTCCTGGGTCTGGCTCATGCACACCTTCTTTGTGAGCCTGGAACCTGCACTCCAGAAGAAGCCTGGTCAGGCAGCTACTCTTGCATGTCTTCCAGCCTTTCCCCTCCAACGCTCTTTTCATCTTATTCAAGTAAGATGAATGTTTTGATACTCTTCCAGACATACAGATGGACTGATTAGCACTGTGCTAGAAATTTACTGAGACTCCGACATTTGTTTTTCAAATTGCTCAAATACCTCTGTATAGCTTAAAAATAATATACAAGGTCAAAGGTAGGTTATCCTGTACAAAAAAATTATATTAGCATAAAATGTAAAGTATTTAGCTGAAGCTTACTGAAATATGACCAGTAAGCTGTGATACACACAAAAATAAAGCAGTATCACATACAACTGGAACATTCATGGCTGGTCTGGGTTTGGGCTGAGACCCCACTCTCCTGCCTTGCTTTCATCATCCCCCTCTGCTGGTGTGGGGAACCGTGTCCTCAGACACAGCACTGAAGAATGGAGATGAGTGTCAAAATTGGTCACTAACTTATGGTCTCCAACGTAAGACCCCAGCAACTACATTTGTTCTGATGTCTCAGAATGAGGGCCAGGGGTCCCTGACATTTCCTTTTATAAATCCCTCTTCTTATCTCTTTGAAACCACAGAGGTTTTGAACTTAGGCTGAAATACTCAGACTGGCTATCTGCTCCTGCCCTAGCTTTTGGGAAGTTCTTTTCTCATGTTCCGAATTTCCTTTCGTATGTGCTTTCATATGCACTGAAAATGCATTGCTTCATTTACTCTGTCATTTCTATTGCTTTATTTCATCTATTAGACTTGTCAAATCCACTGATCCAAGTTTACGAACCTTGCATATTCAAATTATTAGATGGAGATATTTTTATTACAAAACTTTTATCTTGACTTTTGAACAATTCATTACATAATCATTTCCTATTTGAAATAAATGAGGAAACATAGTTTTCAAATCCCAGATTCTGTTTTAAACAAACTTCGAGTATCTAGCAAAAGCAAGCAAAACAAACTGTCTAGCTAATTAAAGCATGTGGATTCTTTGGATTTCTGTGGAGCAAACACCACAACACTACAACGCTTTTGGTGGGTAATACCGCATTTTTGAAAAACAGGAAAAAATTTCTTTCCATTAACTTTGCAATTTGCCACTTGAACACAGGAGGGCACTCAATCCCCAACATTTAGAAAAACAAATTCTTCCTTTCTCTACGCAGGTGGGAAGTTTTGAGCAGCTCTCGTCTGAGCTAGTCAATAGAAAATAAGCAGCAATTTTTTTCTTTTTCTTTTTCTTTTTCTTTTTGTGGATGTGAGCTAATGGTAGAGGCAGCACTAGTCTGTGTAATTCAGTTGACTTCTGTAGCTTGCCAGGCTTTGAATCTACAGTGCTACATATCTGACATGCCATTTTATTCATTACACTGAATTCTTTTAATTGACATAAAGGGACAGCAAATTAAAAAAAAAATCTCAAGTGGTTTATATTCCATTCCATTCCATTCCTAAAACTTGGCATTCCAGCCCATTTCCACCAGATGGCAAAAGGAAGTCATTAGACCAGCAAGACCACTCCCACCTCATTTCTGAACATTGAGGCAGATGACTTAAACTCTGATTTTATTCTTTTTAATGAATCAAAACACTCTTTAGCTATTTCTTTTCAAAGGTGTTTAAAATAACTCTCCAAATACTTTTTCATAGTGAAAGTATCAAGCTTCTCCCTCTCCAACTCTTCTCTACTGTTCTTTTTCCTCCCCTTCTCTTTTTCACCTGTGAGTGAATTTGGTTCTGAAATCTCTGACTGTATTCAGACTAACTGAGCAATATTATAAAACTTGTCAAGGTAGAAGGTTGGTGTCTTCAGTATTATTTCTTTCAGTATCACTCTGTTTTCTTTTCCAGATAGTTCTTCCAACTATTTTTTCTTCAAGAAAAAAGTTGTCTTCCCTTTTGTTCTCCTCCTTTTGATGCTTGGTCCTGTTCACCTCAGCAGTGACCAACAATATTCCTATGTGACATCCATCTGCATATTATTTCACGCCGATTCTTTCCCAAGGTGGAGTCTCTTGCCCTTCTCCTGATGCCTCTCCATCAGCCATCCTGCCTGTGCGGTTTCCTTCCCTTTCCTGCCAGTCTCAGCAACACAGTGGTACTTTGTTCCTGCCTTTTCCCATTTTCCCTCTCCAGAGACCAGGAAAAGCGAGGAGGTGACGTATTAGCTTACCTAATTAAAGACTTCTGCTCTGATACAAACTTTGAAAATCTGGGCAAAGAGACTTAAAGAAAGGGAGTTCCTGAATCTGTTAAAGTCACAGATTTTCAACTGGACTACAAGTCTGAAGCAGCAAAAAAATATTCACAGGAAGTCAGAGCCCTATTCAAGCCCCTGCTGGCCTTGAATTCAGGTCTCTGCTTTGCCCAGGTGAGTACTCAGGTGCTGATTTTGCATATTAGACCATGATAATGCACCTATTTGTCCTTCTTGTTCTGTGGAATAAAATGCTACCTATTTAACTTCTAAGTTTTTAATCAAAGCTGAATTGCATCATCGGGGAGCACCAAGGTACATTAGCCAAATCATTATCAAAAAACTACTTGGGCTGTGTTTTTAACAAAAAGACCCTTATAAGCTGCCCAAATTTGGCTTATTCACTTATATATATAGATATATATATAAAGTCCATGCATGCATTAAAGCTTCTCTGAGCTTGACAGGGTTGGAATAAAACTTGGTGTAGTTCTGAGGCAGCATTGCATAACTGAGGGAATTTTTTTCCACATTTGTTACTTTCTTCTACTTTTAGTTAAATCTGGGTTTGAGATTTTTATCTTCTAAATCCAGATTTTCAGTTGTGGAAGCCATGAAACCACTTCATTTAGATTAAGACATTCAAGGGTTTTTCAGCTCCCTGTCACAGCGCGTGGCAAAAAGTAGTTCTTCAATATTCCCAGTCCACTCTGTCCCTGTGACGGAGCTGGAGCAGCACAGCAGGTGTGTGTGCTGGGCTGACCTCAGCTGGCTGCCAGGCGCCCACCCAGCCACTCTCTCCGTCTCCTCAGCAGGATGGGGGAAGAAAATCAGACGAAAAATCTCATGGGTCATGATGAAGATAGCGAGATTGCTCACTAGTCACTGTCATGGGCAAAACAGACTTGACTTGGGGAAATGAATTTATCACCAATAAAAACAGATAGTGAGAAACAAAAACAAAACTAAAATACCTTCTCCCCAGACTTCCCTTCTTCCCAGACTCAACTTCACGCTTGACCCTTCCACCTCCCCACCCCAAGTGGCACAGAGACATGGGGAATAGGGGCTGGGGTCAGTTCATAGAACTTTGCCTCTGCAGATCCTTCCTCCTCATGCTGTTCCCCGGCACCAGCGTGGGCTCCCACCCACGGGGTGCAATCCTTCATGAACTTCTCCAGCTAAGTCGTTTCCATGGGGTACAGTCCTTCAGGAACAGACTGCTACAGTGTGGGTCCCCCATGGGGCCACAGAACCTGACAGAAAACCTGCTCCCGCACGAGCTCCTCTCCACAGGCCGTAGCTCCTGGCAGCAGCCATCTCTTGTGTGGGCTCTCCATGGGCTGCACCAGGACGACCTGCCTCACCAGGGTCTTTTCCACGGGATGCAGGGGATCCTCTGCTCTGGCGCCTGGAGCACTCCTCCCTTCTTCTTCTCTCACTTTGGTGCTCCAGGGCTGTTTCTCTCACATTTTTCCTCACTCCTCACTGCCGTGCAGCATTTTGCCCTTTATTAAATACATTTTCCCAGAGGTGCCACCATTGTGGCCGAGGGGCTCGGCTGTGCCCTGCGGTGCCGCCATTGCGGCCGAGGGGTGCGGCTGTGCCCTGCAGTGGGGTGAGCTGGAGCCGGCTGGGCCCAACTTTGTCTGGTGCGGGGCAGCCCCGGCCTCTCCTCTCCCCATGATGGCCGCCCGCTGCCGGTGCCTGGGCATGGGCACACAGCACATGCTGTCAGTATAAAGTATCCTACACAAGAGGAAATGTCTTGGGGCAATCTGAGAATGGCTATAGCCAATTTATGTCACCTGTGGTATATGAAATGATAGAGGCACGAGTCCTCACCCTGGTCTTGCAAGAGAATTTAACTACAATAACTGCTGAACTTCACACAGCTGTATTTTGCATGAGAAAACAGGCTGACAAATATTTTTTACCTCTATATATTGTCAGACTTGAATTTTAAGAACCCATTGTTTTTTACATCTTTACTAAATCCAGGAAGATTAACAAGAATCGTGTTTCTACGCTGACTCACAGGGCATTACTAGCAGAGGGGAGTGGACGGGAAATTTTGTAACAGGCCCAGCAGCTACCGCGATGGTTCTCGGGTTTATGGGAATAAACAATGATTTGTATTATAAATGGATTTTCCTGCCAGCTGAGGTAGGTGGAGATAAAGCATTACAATTTCAAAAAGCTTTTTGAGTTGAATCCTCAATTATGGCTGTAAGGATTAGCTATTTTAATCTTCTTCTTATATAAATACATACATATATGCATACAAAGATATCGCAGTGGAAAATTACATGTATCACTTGGCATGCCTGGGGAACGAACTACCTCCCATGACCTCAGTAGGGCAGTGCTTGTACACCAAGACTACTGAGGTTGACACTGTGTAAAAATTTCTAACAATATATTGCTGAAATTAGTTTATGATTGAATAGAAAGATTCTTTTAGCCCTTATCAGCAAACTTAGCTCTACTTAAGAAATGCCATGTATTAACAAGAGCAATAAATCAAGCACTTAATACTACAGCCTAATGAGAGTCTACACCGAACCCAATAGGAGCAAAATGGGATTCTAGGTTTCACAATACAAAATAATTTTCCAGTTACCTCCTTGAGTAAGACCCACTCTCGTAATTTCTTTTGCATCATCTAAAGGGATTTCAAAGATTATTTTTACTCTGTTGACTACAAGAACTTTGCAATATTAAATATGACATACATAAGCCTATTTACTCTTGGGGACTTAGGCATTCATGTCACAGTTTTTTCATTTCAACATTTAAGTTCAGTGATCCCTGGGGCTTTTTATTTACCTTCTCTTAAAATGAAGGTGAAAATAGAAATGCCCCTCTAATGTTTTACATTAAACAAAACCTGTAAGTGCATTTGTGTGCTTATAGAAACATGTGTATGTACATAAATATGTATGTGTATGTGATGTTGTTGCATTTACATAGTGAACATAAATATTAACAGAAATGTGAAATATACATACAGGAAGACTTGAAATTTTACTGATCTCTTTCTGTCCCTCCTTGGTTTTGGCCAAACCAGAATTTATAACCTAAAATCTGTTACTTTAAACACGTGGTTTGGAATAAACACTACATGTGTTCCCTGCCACAGGAATGTGAATGCAGGACACTTTTGTCTTAAACTCAGTAGACTGAAACCCATTTGTTCAGTTTTATACAAGTCTACACACAGAGAAATTTCAGATGTTCTGTACAACATTTTATCAGTACATGAAGTGGAAAAGCCTTCAATTTTTAAACTGTATAAGTCCATGCAGAAAAGGGTCTTTCTGTCTTTAGGCTGGACAGTCTTTCGTTATCTGTACGGATACCAAACTCACAGATAAGACAGAAAATTCACAGAATCTCTCTTTGACATAGTGCAGAAATGGGACTGGTTGGAAGTAACCTCCTATGCAGTTTTAATGCACCCACTGCTTTGGGCCAGCACATGGAAAGCTCCTTCAGGTGTCAGCACATGGAGTGACAGACAGAAGCAGAGGCCTGTCTTACACAGTATTATCCAGCTTTTCTTCTTGTCTGTCTCTATGGAAATCTAGATTATGATGGCACAGCTGAAAGCAGCTTCCTTCTATTGCAGTGACTGAGCTGAAGGGCCGAGGCCAAGGTCATGGCTGTACTGCAACCACCTGGGAGGCAAGTGGATTGCAGGTGACAGAAGAAGTCCTGATCTCTGTCTTTCAAGGTCCTTCGCCTATGACATCTCTTCACCATCAATTGACTCTTATTTATAAACGACTGAGAAGATTCATTTCCTTCTGACAACATGGATGTAATAAAAGTGGTCTGTATTACAGTGACCTGTCTCCCAGAGACATTCATTAAACAGAGCGATTTGGGGAAGCATGATCTTTCTTTAAGTTAGTCCAAACCAAAAACATCCATTGTAAGTCTATTTTGAAACAGAAATTTATATAATTGAGATAATTTGCTTGATTGCTGCAGCTCAATTCCATACTCCTTCTCCAAACTTCAAAATTTCAAGTGCTACTTAGAACCTAAACAAAAAAACCCTGCCAGAATAGATATTTCTTGGCTTAGACCAATGCAAAAAAATTCACATCCTGGGCACACATCTGAGGAGCTCATGACAAGCTGAGGTCAAAACAGAAGTGTCACTGACTGATTATAGAAATGAAGCAGTAAAGCTGCCCTGTGCAGCACTGTGGCGAAACGGTGCGATGTACTTTTGCAGGGGATTCAGCCCTCCGGCAGTGCTGAATGATGAACAACTCCTAGCCGGTACACAAGTTTCACATGCAGGATCCTTTCAGTAGGAAAAAAAATACCCACCCAAGGAAAATTAAAACAAAACCACATTTCTTTCTAATCTGGAGAATATCTACACCACATGCTTCAGTCATCCGTATATGTCTAATTAAGCACAGTTCAGCACAACTGAGTTTCGGAACCTACGGGTATTCCCCCACTCAAATAGCAACATAATGCCCCAAAATTACATGCTTGCCACTTATTCCTCTGTGCTTGTGAGTATATAAATCATTGACTTCCATATTTAGTGCTGGATCTTGTTTCTCATTGCATGATTTACTGGTTTGGTCACATAACCTTCACAAACTTCCCTGAGGTTTTAGGTAAATCAGAGAACAGGGTCTGGCTTCTGGGATTTTCTCCATCTATCACTTTCTCAGCAGACTATGTGAAATGAATCTGGTGACCTCACTTCAGCCTCTGTTGGAAAAGCATCCACATTACACAGCAAAGAACCAAATGGGTCTGTAAAACAAAATGCTCTTGCAGCCCCTGAAAAGGGAGCTTTGTTTAAGTCTGAAACACATTAGAAGGGCAGTGCAAGAAAGCTTGAACTGACGCGATCTTCACTGAATGTTTGGTAAAGACAAGCATTTAATTTTCCACTCCATTTAATCTGACATGTTTTATGATTGCTAGTTTTTTCTTTGAAGTGATATATTTATGAGTAATAATACAGCGTGCTACTTTCTACACAATTTAAAATGAGTATCTTCATACTAGGATGAATCTTTTACTGAAAATTGTCTTTCAGCCTGTGAAGACAGGAATGACTAGTCAGTAAATACCTGCTTCATGAATTTCTTCTTGTCCAGTGTAAGAGGAAAACACTTGTCCAAAGAACTTATATTGCTGCTCTCGAAAGTTGTTTTGCAGATAGTCCATCAGCATAACATAGCCAGACTGCTGCATCGTAAGGACTTCACAGAATACTGCTAACTAGAAGAGGTGAGAAAAAAACAGAAGTCAGAAGTCATAACAAATTAACCAGATTCTGTTAAGAGGCAAAAACCCTGGGGGAAAGGTGTTGGGTGAAGTCTCCCAGTTGAGCTCTCCAAGTGGCACTGAACTTTCGTTCCTCTGTACCAGCAGTATAACTAATGCTTTACCCCACCTTATTTCTCAGCTGCTCTGCTGTTGGAGCTATGCTCAGCCCAGTCACCACCATTTAGCTGGGAGAATATGGAAAGTGTTTTGCACTTTTCTTTATCTGTGCTAGAAGTCCAGACAGCCTGCAGAGTTAGGAAGTATGTTCTTACTCCCTTCTAAGGCAAGAAATTACTAGCCCTGAACTGAAAAAGGGAAAAGATAACACACTCAAGTAATATATATGCTTTCTAATTTAACGACTGCATGAAAAATTTAAAACTAGATGGAAGAAAAGACAGGTTGTTGGGCTGGCAATGAATACCATGACTTTTTACCATTACATGGCGATTGCTTTTCTTTGGTATTATATATAATTGTTTGGGTTTAATACATTAAATGAATTACCTGGTGTTCAGAAATACTAATGGTATTTTTAAACACAATCCATTCAACTGTTTCAGAGCAGGGAGGAGCTGATAAAGACCCATTGTAAGTGTAATACTTGTCCGTTGCATTCGGCAGAAGGTTCAGCAAAATAAATGGTTCTAAGGCAGCCTGTTTTCCTGGAAAAAAACCCCACAATAGAGTCAGATAGTTAAAATACTGCAGAATCAATGAACAAAAAGAAATCACACTCTCCAAACTAGTTACCATTATAGGAATATGCTAGTTTTAAGGCTACTCAGAATTTGACCTCCAGAGAGACTAGCATACAAACAAATTGCTGAGCCTTTTCTATTTAGTTTGAATAAGTATTGTTCAACAACAACTTTGTTTACTTGGGACAGTGTAATGAGTCACTCCAGTAATAAATAATCAGTACATTGACTCACAAGAGTTTGTTCACCTGTAACCTTACTAATCCAAGATGCCAAATATTTGTCTCACCCATGAATTTCAAATTAAAAATATGTTAAATCTCTGTTCTTGGTCTCATGACACAGCTTCAAACTCCCCCTGAACTTAGTCACATTGTTGAGTTTCTCGCAGGATCTTAACCTTTGCAGAAAATCATTGCCTGGGGAACTGTCGTCATATTAGACCTGAGAGTTACATTACTCGTGATAGCACAAGCAGAATTTCTGTGGATCAGGGTTTTTTAAAATGGTGATAATACAGTGGAAAACTAACAGCTTTACACTAAGCAGAGAAGGATGCAAAGACCTCCTCCAGGAGAGTATGACCACTCTGTTTATTGTCCTGTGAAAATAGTATCCTTCTTTCAGGTCAGCAGTTTACCTGGCATCTTGCCAGCCTGGAGCATGCATGAGGAATTGCTGGGAGCCCAGCCACAGAAAGCTCGTATGGCTGTAGGGTCCAGCAACAAAAATTGGCAGAAAGGGTACCAACTTCCTAGAGGCAGATTTTTTCAGTCTGTGACAATTATCAGTCTTGTGACAATTATCTGCCTTATTGTATGGTTTATCCTAATAATACTTCTTTTTTACATCGTGGAGTAATGTAGATCCTTATATACTTTATAGCTCATCCTCCTATTTCTCCTGCCAACGTACTGATCAACCTTCAGACTGAAGCTATCATTGCTGTCTGGTATGTGTCTAGTTAATGCTTTCTTCCTTCAGTAAAATTGAATGGCTAGTACATTTTGTATAGATGCTTGGGGACATCAAACTTCGCATTTATACTAAGAATCCTGCCATACACTTTGCAACTTTGGATTTTAAAATGTTCTGTAATGGGATTGACAGCCCAGATTCTAAAATTAAACACCTACAAAGAACGAGGAGAAACAGAGTTTGTCTGGAAGGAACAGAACTGCTCCTCTGCAGAGCCTGAGAACTCAGCAACTGGGATTCAAATAAGCACAATACAGATACGACTGACAAGGACAGATCCTGTACATCGCAGACAAGGACAGATCGAGTGCTATTCCCTTTTCTTCAGGAGGAACAACTTGATTTAGTCATGACCTGAACTTTCAGAGCTCATTTGCATTTTATTCAAGAAAACGATACTCTATTCATTGTTGAAGTGCCATGTAGTGGCTGTATCTTGAATATTGTTGCTGATAGTTTTACAGCTCCTTCCAAGGCTGTAGGACAGCATCCGCGTTGATGTATTACTCATTCTTCTTTGTGTTTCATAGAAGATGGCACACAAAGATAATGAATCCTAACTCCTTTATATTTCCCCCTCCTCTGCCTTTCTAATTTATGAAAGTTGCTCCCTTTTATATTTATTGAATGATGTTTATTTTCTGGAGAAAAACAATCTTGATTTTAGTGTCATACTTCTGAAAACTTTTAAAATGGTGGACTAATAGATTTTTACACTTTCAGTCTATTGATCCGAAGGGGCTGTACAAAGCTCAAGCATCATTACATTTAGGAAAACTGAGACAAAGCTAGCCATTTACTTAGGGTCATGGCCATGATGTAAGAAAATATCCCTGCTCAAGACAGTGCTCATTCATGTTTATTATTCTTCAAAGCCACCATGAAACTGTGTTAGAAACAGAGCCCAGATGTCCTCATGCACCACCCTTAAGTCCATGTGCTCTGACATAAAATCACAAGGAATTCTAAAACACCAAAGTGTCAAAATTTGGTTTGAATAATGCTAGTACAAATATAATGGATTATTTCAGCTTTATCCAGGAGCTACTGAAAATTCACCTCCACTGAGTCTACTGAATACTGATAGTCTCATGACATGATGGTCTCATGCTTGTAAGACGCATCTTGGACAGCTGCAACAGGGTTATCTGGCTTCCAGCCACATATAAAAATCCAGAAATGTATGACCAAGAAAACTCACAGCATACAACAGGCACGTCTCTTGATTTAGCATTTAAAGAGTTGCAAATTCCTCATGATAGTTACATTTATTCATTTACACTTACTGCTGTTGTTACAAATATTCAGTCTTGAGGTAAATAACTAATAGAATATCTCTATTTGGAAAGGACTCATTAAGGATCATTGAGTCCAACTCCCTGCTCCCTCATCGCCCTCCTCTGGACACATTCTAATAGTTTGATGTCCTTATGTTGAGACACTCAAAACTGCACACAGTACTTGAGGTGGGGCCACACCAGTGCAGTGCAGAGTGCAACAATCACCTCCCTTGACCAGATAGCCGTGCTGTGCTTCATGCACCCCAGGACAAGGTTGGCCCTTTCTGCTGCCACGGCACACTGTTCACTCATACTCAACTTGCCATCAACCCAAACCCTGAAATATCTTTCCACGGGGCCGGTCACCAGACTCTTGTCTCCCAATTTGCATGTGTAACCATGATGACCATGTCCCAGGTGCAGAATCCAGCACTTGCTCCTGTTAAATTTCATATGGTTGGTGACTGTCCACCTCTCTAGTCTATCCAGAAGACTTTTATTGTTTCTAACAAAATAGTCATGGCTGGACTCCAGAGAACCGTGCTCCCAGGTGTCTTTAAGGTTTCATTATTACACTGAAATGGAATTTAGTCTAATCAGTAATCAATAAAACATGGAGGCAGACTTACCAAAACGACTAACACTATCTACTCCATTAATGATTGGATTATAATCTGGATTATCTTCTAGTCCAGCCTGTGAAAAAGAAATTGCATTTTATTAAAAGTACAGGCTTCATGAAAAAAATTGGAAGTCACAATTCACCACCAAAATTACAAATGACTTAAAGCAGAGCAAATGTATTTTGCCCATTTGCTTTTCTGTAAGAATAAATCAGAAAGATATATGCAAATTTTTAACTCAGTGATGATGCATTGGAACCAGTTAAATTCAGTTTCAATATCTGCCATGCTTCAAAGCTTGTTTAATGACACAAAGATATATTTTGTTTACCTCAAACAAAATTGATAAAGCTCTTAACTTTCCATTTCCTTTAATTGCCTCTTCAAAATTTGTAAACTGATCTGCATCATAGCAGTAGATTTGCATCTGCAAATAAAAATATATTCAAATGTTATACACAAAAAAAAATTAAAAAGTAATCAATACAGTTATTTATATTCCCATTGTGAGAAAAAATGTCCAAGCAATAAATTTAATTACAAATACATGGATTTTTTATCTCGTAGATCTCAGTGAGAGCTGCTCCTCTCCTCCACTGCATCCCCATGCTGCTGCAAGCTACTCTGCCAAACCAGTCAGGGGTACGCTGGCCTGGCTGCCTGTGAATGCGGCTGCACCCAGGACCTGCTCTCACATGGTAGCTCCCGGCATGCTGCTGCCAGCTCTCTTTCCAGCCTGGTGACACAGGCTGCGCTATGTCTCGGTAAGGCACAGCAGCTCCCATACGCTCTCAGCAAAGCCCCAGCTTTGAAAAGCCCATTTACACTTCAAACAACCGACTGCTGTGGAATATGATGGGCCAAACTCATAGGAGCTTAACTGTTAGGGGGAGCTTGAACTTTGTCAGATTAGCAGAACCGACTCCTAACATCATCTTAGAAGACGTTTGCGAAAATGCACACTTTTGACATTCTCATCATGCCACAGAATAACGCCTTACGCTGCCCTTCTAAAATGCATCTTTTAAATATTATTAATTCGTACTATTAATTTGGATTTAAGCAAAGTATTATATTTGCAAGTAGACTTCAATCAAGTGATAAACAAAGGTATTTCATAAACAGTGTTACTTCTGCAGAATGACAAATCGTCAAAATCTATTCTGTACTTTACCTCAAGAGGAAATTTTTGTCCTTCTAAGCTATGTTCTGATCCGTCTGATGACACATTGCATTTTCCCCAGTGAAAAATGATCTTGCTTGCTTTAAATACAGTGTCTAAGCCACCTCCACTTACATAATAATCATTTGTCAGGTTAATTTCCACTAAACAAAGAGAGAGAGAGGGGGAAAAAAAGGAGTGTCAATATAAAAGCCAGCCAAGGCATCTATGACTATCATATTTCAGTACTTGGTGCTAAAAGGTAAATATGATGCGCTTATTTCCCTGTATTTCATAAGCAATTTGACAGGAAATTGGTTATTTAAACAAAGTAAGAAGTGTGGTAATTCACTATTAGCATGGAGGAAGATGTTTAATTTGACTCTGCAATTCATAAAACAGTCTTCTAGTGAAGTGCACTACTATATTGGTCTCCTGTTGCCTGAAACTAGCCATGGGACTACGCTAAACAGCTCAGAAAACTGGCTTAACCACCAATCTGACCATCCAAGCAAGGAAATTCCTGAAACACGTAGTTTCCTGAAAGCACTTGTACGTTTAACAAAAAGGAAAATACCATCCCCACCATTATTAGCATAATTCTAGATACAAATAATGAGGCAACACATGAAAAGAAAATTTTAGCCGGTTCCTAGGAGGACTGTCCTGTCTGTGAGACCCCTTAGCCATGGAGCAGTCTCCCATGGGAGAAGCTGGTGACAGGTCTTCAGCTGGACAATGCTGTACACAAACTGTAGATGGGACTGAGCATTCGTCTTCTGGATGGAACGACCTGGGTGGAATAGACCAAAGCCCCACATTGGCTTTCCTACCTCCAGTGACTGCGGATTTTTTGACCTCTTGCTAAAACAGCCCTAATGGAGTTCAGTTTCATTACATTCCTTTCCTCAAGACCTTAAAGACCATTTTAACTGCAGAGTTTAGTAGTTCCCTTTATAATATCTAAATTGCTGTAGATGAGGAAGAGCTCGGTTTACTTTTATGAACTTTAAAGAATGTTTCCTCAGGGATCTCTTGAAAAGACAAATGCATTGTTTATCTCAGCTAGTAGGGCAAGAGGGAAGTAAGTGATCTATGGAACAGTACGTAGAAAGTACGATAGGTCCAAGAACAGATATAAGGAACAATGATGCTAAAATCAAATAATTTCAAATCAAATCAAATAACATGGCTGGTTTAGGGGTCCCACTGGAAACCATAGAAGCTCAAAGACAGCTGGTAAGAGATACCCTTCTCCATACCTGTGCCCGAAACAAGAAACAGAACTTCCAACAAGCAGCTTTTAGCTACTGCTGTCCTGGACTTATGCAGTGAAGCGGTCGCAAAAAGATCTGTCTGACAATGTAAATGTCACCATAAGCTTCTGTTATAGCTTGGAGAAATAGGCACTTGCAGGCATAAATCACTTCTTTCTAAAATACATTTCTAAGATAGGTAAGACAAATCGGACCATAAAAGCACCTATTTCTCTTTGACTGTAAGAAGAAGTCTAAGTGAGCAATTCAGACGCAAGTGTCTACATTATAGGTGCCTGTGTGCAGATCAGATGAATCCCATCCTGAGTTTTTTGAAACCACAGCTCATCCATGAAGTGCATCCAGACGAGCAGGTAATTTATTTGTACTTTTACAAACTCATTTTTGTATACTTGTTACAGATACTAGATATGTAGTAATAATCATCATTATTTCATAGCAAATGCTGAGTTACTGTTTATCTTCAATGAAGTGCTCATGATGGGATGACGAGAACAATGTGATTGCTTTGGTACTATCTGTGCACAGAATTATCATTTGTGTTTTAGTGATTTGTCTATTATACTTGGCAATTGTCATCACCCATTTTTTTTTTTATTTAATGGATAAATTCAGAATGCACAAGCTAAGGAAAAGCAAAATGAAAATGCTTCATTAAAAGTCCTTGGTTGATTGTCTGTCCTATATCACTTCTCTGACTTCATTTAACTCCAAACATGAAATCTGACTTTTTACCTGTTTTGCCAGTGTTGCGAATGAAAGTATCTTCCAGAGTTTCCTTTTCCCATCCATGGAATTTAAGTTTCTTCAGATTCACATTTACTTGGGTAAGATCTTCATCTATATTAATAGGAGATTGTTTGGCACCATTGCAGGCTGAATATTTCTTTCCCCAGTTCTTCTGGTTCAAAGTTCCTAGAAATCAAAACATTTGGGGTAAATACATTTAAAAGCTGTACTGGCATCCATATATTTTTTAACATGGGAAAGTTAAAACACAGTTTGCAGCCTGTAATCAGACTACGTGCCCTTCTTTTAGGCCTCATCTGTAGTAATACTTAGCACATCTACCATTGCATTCTACTTTCAACAGTTAAGTCACTTTTTAATTTTAGACATCATACATAGACGCTTATGAGATGTCTAGGAAAAGCAGAAAACAACAAAAAACCCCTCACACACAATTTATGGAAATAATATATAAAACGGGGTGGGAGGGAGAGAAGGGACAACTTCCAGGTGAAAGAAATTGGCATTCAGGAAAACTTAGGAACCCTCCTTTCTAAATAAGTCTTTTAAGCATACAGATGTCATTAACATTCCTTCTGCTCAATGACGTCACACATACAATGAGATTTTTAAACAAATAAAAGCAATAATAACCTTAAGAAAATCCTTACACAGAGGGAGAAAGGTAAAGTGGCTCTACCCTGGGAAAGGAAAAAGGTTAGTGATGCTCTGGCTGGAGAGCCTGGGTGCGTGGCCCGGCTTTGCCTGCGGACGGCCATGCACCCACCCTCTGGCCGTCTCCCTCGGCAGCTTCCGGGCGCAGGGCACCTTCTCCGGGGCACAGGGGCGTGTGCGGCGCATCCCTGCGAACAGCTCGGACACAGGCAGCATGGACACAGACAGCACGCCCTGCACCAGGACTGGACTGTCTTCCGTAAGAAATGCTCAAGTACTCTACAGATCAGCATGAGGGGTAAGCAGCTGCTCTGAGAATATTTTGTTTACATAATATAGTAATGTAAATAATACAATATTTTATGTATATTTATGTGCTTGCATACATATAAATATTTTTTCCTGACAGGGAATTCTGGTAACACTTCAAAGGGCTAATTAAAACCCAGCGTTGACTGCACAGACCTAAGAAAATATAATTGCTTCAGTTAGCTTCCCACTCACTAGTAGTTAAGAGCTAATATTAGTGCATCCAAAGCACAGATCTGAATTCCATTAGACGACTTGAAATGAGCCAGTGCTCATTTACAGGCCGCTGTGCTACATCCAAGTCTGTCAGCAGATTTGCTATGCAGTACCCCAGGCAAGGACAGCCCTCATATTGCACTCAGAAAACTCAGCAAGGGGAGAAGAGATGCAACCAGTCCTGTAACCATGACGATAGGCAGTAACAGAAGATGCTCATCTGGATAGCTAGCTACCTAGACACGTACCTGAGCTAAATTATTCAACAAGTATCAAGTCTAGCGAGTTACCAGTATCACCTTGACGCACCAGAAGTACTGCAGGTCAGATGGCATATAAACCCAATTACTTCTTGTAAACAGCAGAAACTTGGGCACAACAGCCAAGCAAACTAACATGAGTTTAAGTCACAGGGTTATGCATCCGAATATCCTGCAGGTGGGGACTGGAGCCCTGTACCAAGCAAGCAGTGGTCCCCTTGGGAATGGCACACGGGGCAAGCTACCAGCTCCTCCTCAAGCGACACTTCTCCTGGACATTAGCTGTCAGTTGTATTTTATCACCTGGGCAAATATTCTGATGTCTACTGTGCTTTTCATAAGAAAAGACTGGCTAATATTTCACCTTCTCTCTCAAAAGCTTCCCTTAAGAAATTCTGAGCCCAAGTCAACCAAAACTTGGACATGAATCTGCTTAGATCTTCTATAGTGAATTTTATAATAAATATTGAAGGTTTTTAAAACCCAGGAAGCCAATTTTATTTAAATATAAATTAGAATAATGAACTTTTTAAAAAGAAAAGCCTCCAAACAGGGTCAGATAGGACAGAAATAACAATTCTCGGCTTGCCCTGTGCATTGTTGCAGACAGGCCCTTGTTTCCAGGTCTGCTTTCAGCTAGCTCGGTGATTTTCCAAGTTGCAGCAAACTCTTTAGAGCCCTCCCTGGCTCTCTGAAAGCCTCTGCCACTTTGGGCTGGGCCGGCAGCCCATGGCCGTCCCTCCGAGTTAGGCTGTGCTCCCTACTCCACGCTGTTTCTTTTGCTCCTTCCTTGTGCCACAGCCCAAGACTTCTCCAGGTTCCTGCTGTTGCCCCAAGACAGTAGAAATCGCCTTTCTCTTTCCACTGACATACCCAGTCTGTCGCTCACTGCAGTCTCTCCTTCAGAACACCATCACAAACTCTTCTCCAACACACATTTCACTCACTCTGCACTTTGCATCACTAACTTTAGAACTGACAGAAAATCATACTCTTTTCTCTCTCTCACCACTGTACTTTTAGGTACTTTTGCCTGCTTTCTTCCAGGCTTCTTTTGATGAATGCCATTATCCCATTTTTGCATCTTCCCTTTAAATTCCCTAATATCCACTATCACGTTCTACTAAAATAAATATATTAAAATTAGAGAAACTATAATCTCCCTCCAACTTTCACAGTTTCATATTTTGTGGTTTTGTTTCGTAGAATGCAAATTCTTTGACTTGATAGTCGTTACCTGTGCCTCAGTGTATAATACAACAAATCCCTAGCATGAAGCTAATGATAACAGCAGTAATCCTAGCTCATCCCAGAAGACAACGTCATGCCATCGCAACGTCTTGAGCCAGGGCACGCAGAGTTGCGTAAGATGCTGGCTGTAGGCAGTATGGCGATGCTGTGGCCTGACTGGGGAAGCTTGTTTTTCATTCAGGATATGAAGCTTTTCGCAAGTATTGCCAGAAAGAAATGAGGGAAAGTAGAAGGCTTGGTGAGATGAAGAACATTATTTCCTGTCCCCTAGAAAGGCCTCAAACCTGTGAGATGAGTTTGCTAAAAAGACTTGATAATGTTCTGCCTTTTTTTCTGTGTAGGAACAAAGGCAAGTCAGTCAAGGAAGTGATTATAATAAAAACCTTCTCCTTTCACAAAAACATTGTTGTTTACACCTTACTGAAATCTTACAGCATCTATGAATCTTTATGCCCCTAACAAAGCTTTAGAACAGTAATTTTCAGGTAATTACATATTGCCATTTACTCACCAACAGTCACGGTAAGAAACTGATCTATGTATATTATGTATGAAAAAGACACAAATACTGTTTCAGCCACTCTCTGGTTGACAAAAAGAAAAATATCTGTCCTACCTGTATGAATGGTAGCTTGAAATCAACCAAGGATAAATTAAAAGTATTTCATGGTTGCAGAGGACAAGAGATAAGACTTCCAGCTACGACAAATTAATTCAATGCTCCAAATCAATGCTCCTGCTGGAAAATCTGAATAGGCATTTGATAACTTTTAATCAGTTTTCTTCTTTGTGGTCCAGCAGCTGGTGTAGCTGAAAAAGCTACATAAGCAAAGGACACCATTATTGCCTACAATTGCAAAAGTACAAGCAATCTCAGCACCAAGGAACACAGGCAATGTGGAAGCTCTCTTCTAATGTAAACATGATGTTGAGCTCAGTAATGAGGAACAAGATCTGTGTACATTTGGTATGTCAAGAGGAGAATCACACTTGCGTAACTATTGAGTAGCTGTAGCACTGAGCAAAAGCTATGGAATTAAATGTGCAGGAAACCAATTCCAGAGGGAACTGGAGTTCAGTCCTGATGATCCAAAATATATATGAGCAGCAAAATACATGTTTATGCATGTATCCTGCAAATGCTGGAGCAGATAATGGTTGTGTTTGTATTAGCAAGTAGTGCAGACCAATGAGAGTGGATTTATAGAGTGAAATGGTTGGAGTTTAGGACCAGATGTCCATACGTCTTTCAGTTCTTACCTCAGCCTAGCTTTGTCCGATCCCATGGGCTGGGTGGCCACAAGCTGCTGAAGTGTATTAGGTACGTTCCTGCAGCACACCTCCTGTTTAGTGTCAGCTGAGATGAATCCATGTCACACACTACAACTCTATCTTGCGAACGAAAGCTTGGCAAGTGGGGTGCAGCCAGGAGGTTTGCTTCAGAAGTCCACTCCCAAACTGAACTAAAGCATTAATGTAAATGCAGCCAGCACAGGCAGCAGGTGGTGAAACTGCTGTAGTTTACATGACTTGCAGAAAGCCAAAGTAAAAGAGAAAGAACCAAATGTTTTTAAACAAGAGCAGATTGTTTTACTGTAGGTGTTATGATGGAAACCATAAATCAAAGCAATGCCAGCCATTGTGAAAAATATTGTTGAAACTGAGCTTCAAAAATGAAAATCCCCAAACTGTGCTTTGGAAATCTGAGGAGAATAAAAATGTGCACGATATATCTTGAACAGTGCACAGAGGAAGCAATGTTTGTCAAAGCTGTCAGCTCTGAAGAAGTAACTCCCAAGTCACAATGAATTAAAATGAGCCTGAACACAGCAGATTACAAGATAATGGAAGACTGCCTATACCATAACCTTTGCCCCCCTTGTCTAGGGCAAAATGTCCAAAGAAAATTTTCCTACCCTTCCTTTCTAGGAAATGTTCATACCTAACTCTGCTCCTCATCCTTAGCCGCAGTGATCCCATCCCTGCAACAAGCATCTAATTCTTATTTTGCCCTCCACTTCTATCTGCTGCTGTCTTTGGAAGATCCAGCCCACAAGGTGTTACTGCACTTCTGTCTTTTGTAAAAATACTTGAAAGAAAAGCATCTGTCAGACAACTCTGTGTGTCGGTATCCTATGCAAGTGGAAGGGGTGAGCAGGGCTGCAGACAAGCTGCGAAACTGAGTGGGCTGTGGCCCTCCCAGCAACTTGTCAGGAGAGGGGTTTCTCAGCGTGCTCACACGCTACTACGTGCATGTCTGCTGGGCTGCAAACCTTCATTATGAGTACTGCTGTTTATTACCATGTATCAATACTGGCTGAATGTAATACATAATTTATGAAAAAAAAGAAGATATCTTTTTAAATCAATGGAAAATATACATAAAGAACTTAAAATACAAACCTCAAATCCAGTGAACTGGATTTCAAATCCATGAAACAAATACTCTGCATTTCTTCTTTGTACTGAATATGGAT